CAGTGCTGAGGGAGCGCTGCACTGTCGGAGGGTCAGTGCTGAGGGCGTGCCGCACTGTCGGGGGGTCAGTGCTGAGGGAGTGCCGCACTGTCGGGGGCTCAGTGCTGAGGGAGTGCCGCACTGTCGGAGTGTCAGTGCTAAGGGAATGATGCACTGTCGGAGGGTCAGTGCTGAGGGAGCACCGCACTGTCGGAGGGTCAGTGCTGAGGGAGCGCCGCACTGTCAGAGGGTCAGTGTTGAGGGAGCACCGCGCTGTCAGAGGGTCAATGCTGAGGGAGTGCCGCACTGTCGGAGAGTCAGTGCTGAGGGAGTGCCGCGCTGTCACAGCGTCAGTACTGAGGGAGTGCTGGACTGTCGGAGGGTCAGTGCTGAGGGAATGATGCACTGTTGGAGAGTCAGTACTGGGCTGAATGGCCTCCCATTCTGTAGTGATCTATTGTTTTGCAGAAACTCAATACTTTATAAAAAAATAAAGAACATGGTTAACCAAACAGTAGGAGTGGCATGGTTGGATGTACATTAAGCCTGAATGTATGTCTCTAATCCTGTTTAACAGGGGAGCGGTACTGGGTGTTCAAAGATAACAATGTCGAGGAGAGTTACCCACGCTCCATCAGCGACTTTGAACTGTCCGTGAAGAGTATTGATGCTGCCTTTGTGTGTCCCCACGACGACAAAACCTATTTCTTTAAGGGCAACCAATACTGGAGATATGATGACCAGTTGCGGAGAATGGATCCTGATTACCCGAAGGACATGGTGCAGTGGCAGGGTCTGCCCAGCCAACTCGACGATGCCATGAAATGGTCTGATGGTATGTTGGTATTTTTAGCGATTACTATCAGGAGAAGTCTGGTGTGCGTTCATCTCCAGCAGCTTCTGTTATCGCCCATGACATATGAAATTAGCTGTGGATGTGCTGGTATTGAAGGATCCAACAGACAGTTATTACAACTATCACTTAAATATCAACATAACATTCCTCAGGGATATACATGCCTGGGCTAGTATTACATTCATAGTTTACCACAGAGAAGCATGCTTCCGTGAGTGTCATGCTCCAAGTGATCTCCAGGGTAAGATGGAGTGCGGGATCTTCATATCATGAGTTCTGAGGAAGGGTCACTGGACCCGAAACGTTAACTCTGTTTTCTCCTTCACGGATGCTGCCAGACCTGCTGAGCTTTTCCAGCAACTTTGTTTTTGTTTGGGATCTTCGTACCCTCTGGCTACATGATATGAAACAGGAATGTTGTCATGAACATATCTCTTAAAGACAAAATGATAGTGACCTCTCTAAAAGTTTTAAATTCAGCAAAACTCAGCTTCTGAGGAAGGGCCACTGGACCTGAAACATTAACTCTGCTTTCTGTCCCCAGATGCTGCCAGACCTGCTGGGTTTCTCCAGCAATTTCAGTTTTTGTTTCAGATCTTCAGCAGTTGTTTGCGTTATTCTCTTAAATTTTTACTGACATGGTGACCATGAGACAACAAGGCAATGTGAGGTGCTGGAAGTTGGAAAGAAAAGTGAGATCCCTCCATACTCTCCCACTAACATCTCTTCATCCCAGTCTTTCTGAGATGGTGGAATATTCCAAACTCCCATTGTTATAACCTCTGTGACCCTGACAACCTGCAGCAGCAGTATGGAACTTGCTTCCTCTAAGTGAGTTCAGTGCTGCTTGAGAGACTGAGGTGATCAGGTTTCATTGGGTATCAAGAGATATGGGAAAATTAAGCAAATCAGTTTGAGGTACAATCAGCCATGACCTAATTAAGTGGCTGTGGAACAAGGTTAAGGCACTTATTTGGTACCATTCTGTGCATTTAATAGTGTACAGCTATAGAATCCCTACAGTGTAGAAGCAGGCCATTCAGCCCTTCAGGTCCATACCAACCCTCTGAAGAGCATCCCACCCCAACCCCGTGACTGCATTTTCCATGGCTAACCCACCTAGCCTGCTCATTGCTTGACACTATGGGCAATTTAACTTGGCCAATCTACCTAACCTGCATGTTTGGACTATGGGAGGAAACCCCCCCATAGATACAGGGAGAACACAGACAGTCACCCAAGGGTAGAATCAAACCAGGGTCCCTGGCGCTGTGCAGCAGCAGTGCTAACCACTGAGCCACCGTGCTGCCTTATAGTGGAGGTGCAAGGATGAGGCATGTATTGAGAGGAACACAGCTTTTGACTGATGGATATTGAAGATTGGATTTTAACAGGCAGTGCAGAGACTCACAAAAACTTCCTGAAAATCATCTTGTTGACCAGTCATTCTGTGCCCTTACTCACAATCACTACAAGCCTCAACCCCGCCCCCGTCCCAACCCGATCTCTGCACTCCTCCAAATCCATTGGGGGAGGTGGGGAGGCAGGATGCAGGGGGAGCTGTGTGGTATGACTTGTCCCTTTAAGTCCAATTCTCACCTACTCCCCAAAAGAGGCACAACCTGCATTAATTGTAGCATGTTCCTGTGAACATTTTCTCCAGGTTTGGGGTGTGCTTGTGAATTCTGGGCACAGGCAAGAAATGCGAGAAGTGATGACTTTTTCCCTGGTTTAACACTTTTTCAAAGAAAGTGATGTGATTCATTGCTCTTTAAGCAATATGACATGAGTTAATCACGTGCAAGCATGACCAAAAATGAAAGAATTTTCATTTCTAGTGCCTTTTGCAAACTCGACCGTCCCAAATACAGTTCAGTTCAGCCATGTTGGTTCAGGGATGTATTATTGGTCAGGTCACTGGAAGAACTGGCACACGCTTCAAATAGTGTCATGGAAACTTTCTCACACAATTGTGAAACCACATGGGACTTATAATAGATAAAAGTCCTGGCAGGACAGCACTCCCCAGCAC